GTAGCTTTAAAATTTTAATCTGTTCATGTATATTTCAAACAGATGATATACTTTATTCCATACCAGCTTTGTAAATTCAAAATCTTAAAAGCTCATGATTTTTACTACCAGTCCTTGGGTAATTCTTTGTATAAAGCAGTTGTATTATCATTCTTTTCTTAATAATTCTCAAATTTGTTAGGTTTTAGTTGGCTTACCTAGCGGGTTGGGTTAGGTCCCATCACGACTAGTTGGATTTTGGGTCGTGACAAAGTCATTCAACTTTGTGTTCATTACTTAAAAGTCACTTTTCTTTCTTTTGTTACACAAAAATTATTTTACTTTACTCTAGTTATCATCGCATTGGCCAGATTTTATAATGCTTTTACTTGAAAAGTCTATTATGCCCTTGACATTATATAAATCCTCCCATTTATATAATACATTCTATATTATATACTATATAATATATTTTTACCTAGGTGTTTTATCTATAATTAAAATAACTTAATATTATTTTATTTATTATTTTTATAATATATGTACATTTAATTTTCCCTTAACGTTAATTTTCAAGATATATTGATAGCATTATTAAATTTGTCCGTAATATTACTGTGAATAAATCTCAAGACAACTTTTTTAACCATGCCTAATTAAATATTTTTAATAAAAATTATAAAATCAAAGCTCACAGATTTATCAGACAAACCATATTCATTAATGCAATTGACAAAATACCCACATTTAGCACACCGACACATCAGATTAACACGTTCAAAAAAATAATATTAGTAGATAAAGCTTTTAAAAAACTTAATATTAAACACACATGTTTTTGATTTTTTAAAGAAGTTTTAGTGACTATAAAAAACTATCATTTGTTAAACAAATATCTTCATGTTTGAATATGATTAAACAAAGTCAGTGCCGTGGAAAAATTAAATGTATGAATATATTATAAAAATAAAAAATAAAGTAATATAAAGTTATTTAATTATAAATAAAATACCTAAGTGAAAATATATTATATAATATATAATATAGAAGGTATTACATAAATGAAAGGAATTATAATATCAGGGCATAATAGACTTTTCAGGTGAAAGTTTTATAAAATCTTATCAAAGTGACTATTTGTGATAACTAGAGCATAATAAAATCATTTTTTTGTAACAAAAGAAAGAAAAATGACTTTTAGGTAATGAACACAAAGTTGAATGACTTTTACGTAACAAAAAAAAATAATTTTTGGGTAATGAACCCAAAGCTGAATACCACCCATGAAATTTACTCCTAAAAATTCAACGATTTTGGTAATTTGTTCCAAATATTCAATACTTTCTTAGATTTTAGATTATTATGATGCTTGCAGGTTTGCATGTTATGGTGTGTGATGTCTATAAGTGGTTGTGGTATTTCTGTTTCTTTTTATGTAATTGAGAAAGAGTTAAGTGGTTTAAACTTTAAAGGCTTGATTTTTGGCATATTACTGTACAAAGGCAACTACTTTTAGGGGTCGTTTGGTATGAAGTATAAGAAGGTATAAGGGTGGTATAAAGGTATAAGGGTGGTATAAGGGTCGTATAAGGGTGGTAGGGATAAGTTATGCTGGGATTGTTGTTTATTCATTGTTTGGTATGTTGTATTAAGAATGACAATTGCATATTTTCTAAGAAGAAGGTATAAGTTATACCGGTATTAATTACCCCACCTTCTATAAGGTATAAGTTATCCCGGTGTTAAAATTAACACCGGGATAACTTATACCTGGTTTGCTAACCAAACAGAGTATTAAGGTGGTATTAAATTTTTATACCACCCTTATACCTTTTTATACCTCATATCAAACGACCCCTTAGTGGACAGATATTGCTTGTGATGTTGATCTAGTCAGAAAAAACATCCTTGTACTGTGTGCTATACAAAGTTGGTTATTACTCCTGCTTTCTGCATCATTCTGTTGAATTGTGGTCAGCTAAGTTTTAGGTTTCTTAGTAAGTAAATGTTAGATGAATTGGTGTTTCGGGTACTTTGAATGTGTAATAGTTGACGATCACAGCACGACCCTGGATGAGAAGTAGTAATCAGTTTAACAACTTAAATTAGTGACCTGGCCCTGGATGACCATTCAATTGGACTATATTTACCTAGGATAGTTGAGACATCGTCTCTTACAGGAAAGCGATTTTCGAAATACAACCAAGCAAAATATATAGCAGCACCTAGAAAGTGGTCAGACATGACTCGAGCAAATTTGGTTCCGGTACTAACTCCTCAATCTTTTACCAGTCATGGTTCTTTGGTTGGATATCTCTCTATTCGGGTATAGAGTGGTCTTGACCTCTGATATGACTGAATCATTCAGCATTCTGAAATTAATCAAGTTGGGTGAGCAAAGATTTGAATTACAATCATGGCTTACCACAAGGTCCATTATCCATCTTACTGGTGGATCTTTTACAACCTGCTTGTGTTTGGTGATACTGCCTGGTTATAAAACTGGTATCATAAATAAATACTTAAGATTAGATTCTGCCAAGGGCGTGGCACGGCGGTCGAAGAATTGGAGTGAAAACATTGATAATCAAGGTTCTGAGTCCCAACAGAAACCACACTAGGTAAATCATTCTCGGTGTCTAAAAGTTTTGGAGGGTAGAATTACCCGTTACATGTGCTGGTGGGAGTTTTAGTAGTAAATATTTGGCGAAATGGCCTCCTGGCCACTTAAACTTGTACCGGATTTTAAAGCCGATATATAAACTTTTGACTTTCCCATTTTAGCACCTCAACTCAACCAGTTGATTATAAATAAACCCCTTCTTCAGAGCGTGTAGCTCAGTTGCCTGACAAAAAGAACACGTCAAATACTAAAGCCATTTATTATTTTACACGTGTCATCAGGGGTCCTATTTTTTTATAATTAATTTATCAAAATTTCCTTCTTATTTTATTTCTTTCATTATTCCTTCTACACCTTTTAGAAGGAGCTTTGCTTGTTTACAGAGACGCCGCAAGAGCTTTGCTAATTTGAAATTGCTTTCCTTCTACGCCTTTTGGTTACGAGGGCATATTACAGAGCCACCGCAGGAGCTTGGCTTGTTTACAATGTGAGTAAAAGGCACACTTTCGAGCGGCTGTCGAGTTGGCTTGAAGATATACTGCAACAACGCGACACAACAGTAATAGTGGTGGGGAACAAGTTAGTGTGACGCCGGAGAAATTATTAGGACTGTTAGTGCAGAGGGAGGCCAGGAATTCGCGAAGAGTAATGGATGTTTGTTTATGGAAGCTTCTGCTAAAACGGCGGTGAAAGTGGCGGCGGCGTTTGATAAGACGGCGGAGAGAATATGTGAGAAGATGGGATACGGGGATGTTGAGGAGGTGGATGAAGCTCTGGGAATTAATATTTGGAATTGAAAAGGGTTTAGGATTGGAAAGAACACAGGGGTGAAGTGAATTTTGCGGGGATGGGGGAAGTGGGTCTGATTTATTTTCTTTCTGTTTAATTTTTTTTTTTTTGGTTTTAGATTTTTTAAATCAAAACTATTGCAGTCACGCGCGTAATTTTCGTGACTTGCACACACCTTGTCCACATCATCTCTGTCACTGCCATATATGCATGGTCAACGGTCAAATAGGTTTATTAATTACCGGATACTTGAGTTTGAGTGTTCAAATGGGAACCATATAAATTTATGTATCGGCTTTAAAATCCGGTACAAGTTTAAGTGGCCAGGAAGCCATTTCGCCAAAATAATTGGTGCATTAGTCTAGATGCCCGGACACCACTGTTATATGTTTTGTACATATATCATTATTGTATGATAATCAGCTGGTACAATGGACAGCAATGACGTGGCATTCTAGCAAGTCTATTTGCAGAATTTGCTTTTCTCTCTCTTTTAAACGGGGTAATGAGCTAAACTAGATGGACCTGTGCCGAGAGAGTCTCATTTTATTGTGTAGCTTGAGAATGAATTGAATTAATACCTTCTTTGGACGCTTGTTGAATCTCTTAACTACTGAAGTTCAGGATCGACTTAGCTTTTACCTAGTTTCACAAAATTCTATCTCGTGGTTACCCAGATTTCATACTGAAATTAATCCGAGTCTAGCAAATTCTAGATAAAGATTGGTTAAAAGGCAATTTGAACTTCTCAGCAAAACGTATTTCAGGATGTTTTGAGTTACAGGTAGGAGGCAAACGGGCGGGGCGGGGCGGATATGGTTCGGGTCGAAAACGGGCAATGAAAAACGGATAAATTATCCGACCCGACCCATATTTAAAACGGGTTAAGCGGCGGATAATATGGGTAACCATATTATCTATGATTTCTTGCATATGATCACTTTTGGTAGAATTCTTAGTCTCCCTAACTTGAACTTGAGGAACCCCCAAGTTGAGGCTTTACAAATGTAAAAGTTAGACCCATTGGTTATCCATTTTCTAAATGGATAATATGGTTCTTATCCATATTTGATCCGTTTTTAAAAAGTTCATTATCCAACCCATTTTTAGTGGATAATATGGGTGGTTAACTGTTTTCTTTTTAACCATTTTGCCACCCCTAGTTACAGGTGTGAAAGATGTCTATTGATTGTTTTTGTTTCTTATCTAGATTTGTTACATCTCTTACGGTTTCCAGTAATCTGTTTCTTTTATGCTCGCCTTTTGATTTCTTAAAGGGTGAAGAAAAGGGAGCTGTTTTATTTTTTTCACTAGTTCCATGACGTAATTTTTGTCATCTGCATTACTAAATTGGATCCTCTTCAGTTTAACAGCAGCCACCTGAAAGGCACTACTTTTGGCAAATTTTATTCTAGTTGTGTTTGATTGCTTAAGCATACCAAATGGTCACAGTACCGTAATCTAGCAAGTATGGAAAAAGCCGAACGTCTAGACGGGTCTATCATAGATTTTCTTGGCTAAATATTCTTTTTGTTTCTTCATTATTTCATGACGGAAGAACGTACATAATGAACTTGTGTGGATGTTGACTGAACTGCAGAAATGGAGTCCTTAAAAGATACAGGTTGTCCTTTGCATCAACAACTGTGGTTTTTTCGGTAGTGCAACCACCATGAATATGTGTTCCAAGTGTCACAAGGACATGATACTGAAGCAGGATAGGGCAAAACTTGCAGCTGCATCCATCAAAAACATCATAAATGGAAGCTCAAGCAGTGAGGAAAAAGAACATGTTCTTACGGATGCCATGAACGCACAAGTCATATCTGCAGAATTAAAGGTTGTGTCTGCAGAAGCATCTTCAGATTTAACCTCTCAATGTCCAGAAGTAAAGCCACAAGAGGGCCCAAGTAAGTGCAAAGCTTGCCGTAAGCGTGTGGGTTTAACAGGGTTCAGTTGCAAATGTGGAAATCTTTTCTGTGCAGTTGATCGTTATTCAGACAAACATGACTGCCCATTTGATTATCGGAATGCTGGCTGTGATGCATGCAATAGCTAAAGCAAATCCTGTTGTCGTAGCAGAGAAGACACATACATTATTTCTGGTGGTGCAGGTTGTTATTTATGCTAGCTTGGTGGTCATCTTCACGGAATTTGTAATTTGTCCTTGTTCTCTTCCATTTCTCTGCCCTATGTCTAATATAATATAATGTGCAATTACTATCCCCTTAAAAGAAAAAGGAAAAAAAAAACGCAATTTATTTCAGTGCTATTATGGTAAGTCGTTAGTGCTTCGAGCTCCTTTATCCGGTTGCCTGTGAGCTATCTGGAATTTTATACTGTAAATAAATTCGATATACTCAAAAGATAGGGCTTTTTTTTAAAGGTATGTCATCTCTATTCATTGGTATCCAGCTGGTGCACATATTTGCAGCACAAGTACAGCATTAATGATCCCAAAAGTGCAAGGAGCCGATAAAATCCACAACTGCTTGACGCTATAGTATTAAGACATTTATCTTTCAAAATTGTGTTTGAAGTTGCCGTTTTTTCAGAACATCTCTGATCCCTCTCCATAATGTCTGTACGAGGCCTCAACGTTACTGCTTTTCAATTGAGACACTCTCTTCATTTGTTAATAGTATGTAAAAATAAAGGAAGATCCATATCGTTAGGACTAATATTGTAGTTAAGACTTATGATGTAGCTCTTTTTTCTTCAACGCCAAAATTAAATAAGAAACTGAACTAGTTCTTTTTGTCAGTCCAACAAAAGATAAAACCCAGTTCACACACACTCGCCTAAGCATTGAAATAAGCACAACCGCACTTTGTATGAACGACATAAAATTCAAGCTGGCTTTGCAGCACAAAGGTTTCTCGTGAGTGATATGATGAGGGAGAAAATCTGATCCATTAAACGTTTCCACGTATATTAACTTCGTTATATGTCAGAAGTCCTCTTATTCTAGTTAGGAATTCAACGTAGGAAATGGAAAGAAAATAAAATTCTGACAAGATGCGTAGCTACTCCACAGCCCTCTCAAAAATGAATCCTCAAATTAGTTTCGCATTGCAAAAAATGCTTTAGACACGGTTGCTCAATGCAAGACAGGACTATATGGAAAATAATACTCAGATGGAATTGAAATTGATCTGGAGACTGTCAGCATCACGGATCTATCAGAAAAAACTGGCCAAATATAGCCATCAAATCGACGAACCATATCCCATCAGAGCAAAGAGGAATCACTTCATGGAAACAACTTGAGGCCAATGGATCACCATTCTAGTATGTATCCTAAGGGTGATATTGACCAAAAGGAACGAAACTGAAAGATGTATACAATACAGAGACCCTCTTTGAATTCCCCCTCTTTTATCAAGAACTGTTTAAGGGAAATTGCAATGCAAATTTGTAACCCCTTTCCTTCTGAACTGGTCAATATTCCCTTAGTGCTACTCTTTTATTCAATAATGTAATAACTTGTTACCTAATCAAATTGTTGGTAGATTTAAGAAAATAGGACGAAAATAATTAATGCATGATTACACACACACAACTTACTAGAGCAACCGGTGAACCTTACTCCTTAACATGTAGCGTGTGAGCACATCCTTCGCATGAGACTTGGCCCTTTTACCCAACAATCAAGTCCACTGAAGCATTAGCAACTGTTTTAGTTAAGAACAAACTCAGCCAAATTCACATATCCTAGCCGCCATGATTGTTCTCAAACTTATTGAAATCCACAACTAACAGAGCTCTTAGCCCCGTAGAATTAACCAACTTTATAAAACATACAAAAGCAATAAAACCTCACCTTGTTAAATATACAAAACCAACAAAAATCTCACAGAACACAAACCAGTTGTGGCACATCTTTTTTAATTTTTTGGATATCAGACTGATGATGTCAAGGTCACCACAAGAACTGCTATGATGTTGGAAGAGAGAGGAGATGAGGAAACACAAGGCAAAATGGTGGAACTGCATACCAGCCTGCATCTGGTGGACTGTATGGACAGAGAGAAACAAAAGATGTTCGGAAGACATTGCCTATCCCAGTCAGAACGTCAAGTTTAACTGTACTCTTCTTTGTTTTTGGTGCAGCTAGTAAGTGACACTAGACCAATAGAATTTGTCGAAGGGAACACTTTTGCCCTTCTTTTTTTTGAGAAAAAGAAGGGAACACTTTTGCTTGTTGCTATACATGTGAAAAATATGTCAGCACACTGGCCAGTCTTGTTCATAGTGGTTGAGAGAATCCTCTTCATACCACTAGGTCAAGAGTTCGAGACCAGTAAGATGCCAAACAAACAAAAAAAATATGTCCCATCTCACTAACTTTGTGTGCAAGTCATCCAACTCTTAACTCTATGTCCCAAGACATTGTCCTCGCGCAAAAACTGACGGATGGGCAAGTGGTAAGACTCACAGTGACCCCCACCACTTGCACAGACCTTCACTCACACATCCAGCAGAACAAGCAACCTTGAGCTCATACAGATTTTCTAGCTTAGAACACAAGGACTCGAGTTTACGCATGCTAACCTGAAACCTAAAATGGCAAGATTAGTTCATTAAAAGCATGGTATCTCAAGCAGTATGTTGCTAGACCTAGTGATTAGACCACTTAAGATAGGGGGAGTTACCATAGAAAGAAAGATCAACCTATAAAGGCAAGATAACTTCTTATAAGATCTTATCTCAACTAGCTAGAACATGTAAGTAGTACACTTAAAGATAAGTGGCATTACTCCAATAAACAAGATTGCTTTGTTATGTGCCAGTTAATACGAGAGGGTATACTTGTCTTTGCATATAAATAAGGAGGTCATATTAGTCATTGGCTGATAAGAACTAGTTACGCAATTATTTAATGTGAGCAGACTGATTAGTTGAGCTGTTAGCTGGGCAGTTAGAAGGAGGTTAGAGGATTAAGAGATTAGAGATATAGAAAGGGGATATCATTGTAATAGGGGATTCATTGTGATTTGATGCTGAAATAGATTTCCTCCTCCTCTATCTCTATTACGTTCTTGTTATCGACTCCGTCGCGAGACCGACCAGTCCACCAAAAATCTGTTCAGGGACCATTCCTGCTTTTGGCCCCTTAGGATTTTCTATCTTTTTTGTTTGAGTTGTAACAATGGTATTAGAGCCTTTAGGTTCTCGGACAGTAATGACTACCATGGAAGATGATATCAGCTCGGAAGATGATATTCTATGAAGAACTCAGAGAAGACATTGACGACATCAAGAAATCCATGATTGACATAGCTCGGAAGCATGTCGAGAGCTTGGAGGAAATTAAAAGTATGCTGGCATCCTACCTAACAGGAATAAGATCGCAGGTCGGTGGTGAAGTTTCAAGTACTAGCAGCAAGTTGAATCAACAGCAAGGTGCAGAAACTCTACTCGCTAGAAGCCACAAAATGGAGCCTGACAGAATCATACTCTTCAAAAGGTACATGAATTTGATATACAATCTTCTGTAGTTATAGGTGATGGGCAAGAATAAAATCTTGAGAGCAATGGGGAATTTCAACATGATGAAGGAGACAAGAAGATCTCAGAGATGACTGAGAAAAAGGCTTCATCACATGACTGGGAGGTGTTCCATGAAATTTCCCATGTGTTCGATGAAATTCCTCAGTCGAATTTATGTGGTAAAATGGTTTTATCTCAAGGCTGGGAAGTCTTCGATGAAATCCTTCAGTCGAATTTGTGTGTTAGTAACAGAAATAGTTTGATTGCCGAAGATAAAGATGGTATTTCATGGAATTTAATGATAGGAAGATGTGTGCAAACTAGTATTTTCGACGAAGAATTGAACTTGCTTAGGCAGATACTAATTGTTAATGTCGAGCCTTTGAAAGTTTCCTTGCCAGTAATTCTGCCTGCATTTGGTCAGTTAATGACACTACTTATGAGGAAACATCACCATGCATATGTCAGTAGAACAGAGTTTGATTGCAACATGTGTATAGCTAGCTCACTAGTTAATAGTGATTCTCTAGTGAACAAGAAATCGATGAGAATATCATTGGTGCATCTTCAAATTTTTCTGACTGCTAGTTGTTCACTATTCCCACTTAATCCAGGAGGAATCAAACTAGAAGAGGAGAGTGTATTTGGTAGTTGAAGGGATCTTGGAGAAGATAGTCACAGTGAATACGAACCATTTAGCAGAAAAATATTATGGAAACAGCATAGTTATGATGACGATTGGGAAGAAGACACTAATGAGGAAGTGGAGTTACTTCTATAATTTGAACCTTGTAAGAAGGCTCATCATGGTCACAGGGATGGTTCAGTTAATAAAAGAAATGAGCTCAAGAATGTGCCAATTTCTGCGCGGCCAAAAATGCAAGAAGCTTTTCAGCGGAGCGTCACTCTACAGCTGCTTGGAAAAGACATTTTATATGTTACAGTACGCTTGGCAGAGTAACCACAATGGAGCATGATGGATACTCTTGCAATAGAAATTGACTTTCATGACACAAGCAGTGGTCCTCGAGTCCCTGCAATCATTGATTATTTTGGTTTCACAATGGCTTCTTTAAACGAAAATGAAAGTGTATTTGCAAATCCATGTAATGGTGAGAAGAACATGAGTAAACTCATTTATTGTTCCTTCAGTAGTTGGGCTAATAACAGAGAATGGTCAATCCGCTTTGAAGAGGAATAAGTAAGAGCAGATGCAATAGAAATTGGTTGGGTAGCTACCATAACAAGTTGTAATTTTCATAGCATCTTTGCTGAGGGTTGTCTGCAACAGTTTGGAGATACATCTACTCTTCCTGATTTACTAGTTTTCCTCTCCTCACATGGCGACATGGTTTTGGAGCCTGAAGTAGTGTTGGATCAGAGGACAATACTCATAGACAATCAACAAATCACTCAAGTTATGATCAAATGGTTCAATTGTCTACTTGGAGATAGCACTTGGGTGAAGTTAACTCTTTTTAGCAGCAATTTCTTGATTTGTCCTTGAGGACAAGGATTTTTCACAGAGGGGGTATTTGTTATGTGCCAGTTAATTGGAGGGGTATACTTGTCTTTGCATGTAAATAAGGAGGTCATATTAGTCATTGGCTGATAAGAATTAGTTAAGCAATTAGTTAATGTGAGCTGACTGATTAGTTGAGCTGTTAGCTGGGCAGTCAGGAAGGAGTTAGAGGATTAAGAGATATAAAAAGGGGAGATCATTGTAATTGGGGATTCATTGTGATATGATATTGAAATGGATTTCCTCCCCCTCCATCTCTATTACGTTCTTGTTATGGACTTGATCGGCGACGCCGGCCAGTCCACTGGAAATCTGTCCAGGGACCATTCCTGCTCTTGGCCCCTTAAGATTCTATCTTTTTTGTTTGAGTTGTAACATATTTCCTAGGTGCATTGCCCTTGCCCCAGCCCCCTCTATTTCTAGAGAATGAACCTTAAAAGAAATTTCTTCCTAGTGCAGTCATTACACCACATTCAACGACAAACAAGTAGCAAACACATGTAGCTTGGGGTTATTCCACAATTCGTTTTGCTCTAAGCAAGTACTTTTGCTCTAATGCAACAGGCATATTTATAGAGGACACCCAACCAGTTCGGGATTGAGGCATAATTGTTTAATTGAAATTTAACTTATCCGAAGACAACCATCATACTTGAATCTTCCCAAATACACACACAAGCTAAGCTGCTACTTATATATATACACACAAGCAAATCACGTAAGACGGTCCAATTATAACTTACTGTATTAAACACAAAATATAAAGCAAAAAATTACGCATCCACAGGTGAAAATGAAAAAAGAATAACATAATCAACCATTATCATTAAAACTGAACATAAAACAGTAAGCTCGAATTTCAGGTCAAAGTTGAAAGTCAATAACATTTATTTTCCAACTCTCTAAAAACCACAAACTATCAACAAGGATAAACTATCCCCAATTTATCGAAAACCCCTAATTTGACAATCCAAAAAAGGAGCGAAATTCAAAAACCATACCCAAAAATGATCCACAGATTCATTCATCAACGGATTGGATTTGAGCAGAAGAAGATTCAAGTTCGAGGCGTTTTAGGGCTTCTTGATGGGCCCAAGTTTCAAGTGTGAGATCGGGCTTAGCGTTGAGGCCCACACCGAGGATAACGATAGTGAAAAAGCTGGTGATGTAGCAAGGGAGTTCCCAATCCTCCCATTTCCGGGATTGTCCAGGTGGTGGTGGGACCCGATTGAATAGGTATCCGTTGGGCCGATCTTGGTGACCCGCAGTAGTAAACGGGTTCGGGCCGTGGCCTCCTCTTGTTCGGAGGCCCGAACTAAGACGAGCTCGTAGCATGCCGGCGGCGGTCGCGAAGGGTTTCGCGGACGGCATCGTTGGCCAGGTGAAAGGAAGTGTGTGAGAGACCGGAGTGATTCGCTCCTGTGTGTATTTGTGTGATTGGATCCTATGTGCTGTTCACTATAAACCCAAACGTTGTCGTTTTTTCGCCAAGTGTTTTTAACTACAAAAATTTTTCCGCACTCGAAAGAAAAAAAGCAAGCCTTATGCCTTTTATGCAGGCATTTATCACTTAACTTTGATTATTTTATATGTATTTTTACTTTTACTTATAGCCTGTTTGGCTAAGTTTTTTGTGGGCCAAAAGGGCTTTTTTTTTGTTAAAAGCATTTTTGGTCAAAAATTAAGGTGTTTGGCCAAGCTTTTGGAAGGAAAAAAAGTGTTTTTGAGGAAAAGCAAAAGCAGTTTTGGAGAAGCAGAAAAAAGTAGCTTCTCTCCAAAAGCGCTTTTCTAAAAGCACTTTTGAGAAAAATACACTTAGAAGCAATTTTCAAAAGCTTGGCCAAACACTAATTATTGCTCAAAAGTGCTTTTCAAATTAATTAGCCAAACACAAACTACTTCTCACCAAAAACACTTTTTTTTAAAGTACTTTTGAGAAAAGCACTTCTCAAAATAAGTTGATTTTAGAAGTTTGGCCAAACAGGCTATTATATTAGTAACTAACCATTTTGATTATATCGCTTATTTTGATGTAAACACAATATATAAATATATAAATCTCACTTTACACCCATTAATTCCAAACTATTTACTCTTTAATACTCAGGCCCAAACTATTTACTACTCCTATCCATGAAGCCCAAACTATTTACCCGATTTTTTATTTATTCTATTAAAATAGATCTTCTTTCAACACGAGAATTTGGACGATGGCACATATTGATCCACATGTGGTTTCACTCGTGCTCCATGTTGTGCGTACTTTTGAAGAATCGGTGCTTTGATTCAATTCCATCAATCTAAACTATCAGCGTTTTCTGAATCAAAGCACTTTTGAAGAATCAGTGTTGATTCAATTCCATCCATCTAAAAGAATTAGTGCTTTGAAGAATCAAAGCACATAATCTTTAGCACTTTTGAAGAAACAGTGCTTTGATTCACTTCAATTCATCTAAAAGTGCTAAAGATTTTGACTATATCTTGATTATGATTTAATTCCAACTCTTGATCAATTTATTTTTGTTGGCAATTTGAAATTAAAAATATTTGAATCCAAACGTTTTGGTAGGGGTAAGATTTTGACCTTCTTATTACCAACGCTCAAACTAACGAAGATTATGTGGATCAATTCTGCTCCGTTAACGAAAATGGCTAGTTTCAATTCTGCTCAACTTTTTCTTGATTGTTCTTTCCCTAGCTCTTGCTCTTGCCTTGGCTTAAGATTTTTATTTTGAAGATTTCTTGTTTGATTCAAAGTGGGTGTTGTTAAATATTGCTTATAATACCTTCTGGAAGTTCATACTGAAATTTGATAGCATTTGGAGCTGATTTGAGGTGATTGAGATCGAAATTTTCAGCTGAAAATCGAAGAAGAACACAGCTACCCAATAATATATTGCTACGGTATACAATATGCTGTAGGAGTATATAGCTATACTTCAACAGTATACTATTTTAGTTTACAATATACTGCAACGGTATATTGTAATAATCGAAGAACAACACGGTTACCTAACAGTATACCGCTACAGTATAGCTATACTATAGGAGTATATAGTTATACTGCAACAGTATACTATTATAGTATACAATATATTGTTATAGTATACTGTAATAATATGCAATATACTATAACAGTATGCTGTAATAGTATACAATATGCTATAATAGTATACTTATTACCCATAAATTCACTTGCCTTTTCCCTTTTAATTTGCTTTAAGCTTTTACCCAGCGTGAGGGGCAAATTGAAAATACAAAAAAAAAATATTAGAGTATGCTATATAATGTAACGGTATACTCTTACAATTAGATCCTTTTAGAATTTTTTTGAAATTTTTATTGACAACTGATATTATTTCAGTTTAACAATTGAATTAAAAATTTTTTGACTCTTTGCATACAATTGTATACCCTGTTAGTATAGCTATATACTATACTGGTATCATATGTTAGTTAATATTTTTTGGTTGTATTAGCTACNCATGTTCTACCAATCGGTCTAATTTTGAAATTTAACCAAAAGAGACCCGAAAGTACTAAGCATATACTTTTCCTCAACCAAAGATTTGCAATGTTTTGAAGTAACTAGAGAGTTAATGTGTTTAATTTTTAGAGTCAAATATATTAATTTTTCCATAATAGTTTTCTTTTTAAAAAAAATCATAAGATTAATTTAATTAAAAAAATTGTACTTAAAAGTTTTTCACTTTGTCTTCAGCTGAGGGTCTACCGGAACTAATCTCTCTATCTTTATCAGGTGGGAGTAAGGTCTACGTACACACTACGCTCCCCAAACCCACTTATAGAATTAAACTAAATTTGTTGTTATTATTTAAAAGTTTCTAAGAAATGTTAAAGTCAAAATAAGAAAACATTATCTGAATTTTTTAAAGTAATGTCATCGTTCTTGTTCTTGGAAGAAAAGTACTAACAAATAACAACAGCCTTTAATATATATATATATATATATATATATATATATATATATATACTAGTGGAGGGATAGCCCAGGCCCAACGTCAACAAAGCTATGCTGTTATCAGTAAGGAATAAGTTGTGGCTAGAAGAGAAATAGAAGATACATATCTGCTATAAAAATGTTACTCAACAGAGGAATAGAAGACTATAGAGCTACTACAAAAATGTTTCTTTTTCTAATCCTTCTATTTCCAATTCATATGTTACCCCAAAACGTATAGCTTTCCAGTAGCACCTGCTGATGCGTACATGTGTAAGATGGCATCAAGTAGAAGTATTATTAACAAAGATGATAAACTATTATGTCAAATAAACTTCAACAACACTGAAATAAATCTGGCCATTAAATAATTAAGAGACGTAATTTTACGGATCAGTTTCTAACCGAAGCACTTGTGGATCATGTTGATAATTTAGAAGCAAAAAGGGAACACAGGTCCTCCTAAGTTACCTATCTATTGTTCCATCTATTATCCACTACTTAGTTCAACAAAAGTTTTAGTCTTTCATCGATTTTTCAGCACCCCATTTTGATTCTTTTGTGGGTTTGAGTTTACATAGACTGTGAGTGTCATATTTGTCTATGTAAGCTGATTAAAAATTGAGCTGTTTACAGATTAAACTCAAAACTGCAAATGTTCAGTCCCCTGATAAACAACCTTCTTATCTCGACTCTAAAACAGATCTTGGTATTCCCCTTTCTCTTTATTTCACTTAATTTATTGCATATTTACATTGCTCTTGTACTATGTGTTCTTGGTGTATGTGGGGGTTGAGGAAGAGGCTCGTAGTTGCTAGTTTTTGAGTTTTTATTGATTGTTAGAAGGCATCTGCAGGAAATAATTCTATTATCAATAATATAAATACCTGAATGATTCTACTATTAAGCACTTGTAAAAGAACAATACCTAAATAAAAGGAAGGAGGAGTGTGTCATCTGGTTTTGAGTTCTATTGTTTAGATTAAAATTGCAAAATGAACTAAAGCTTTCATCTAAACATTCAGATTGGTAGGAGTACCAAAAAATACCACTAAATTCAGAGAGGTGTCCATTTATTCAACAGGTTTAATCAATAGTGCATCATCTGCAGAACTCAAATTAATAAAGCACACAAATTCAAATAAATTAGTCTTGTTAGCTACGAACTGTCAAACCTAATGCAATAAAGTATTCAGAGAGCTTATAAACTGTAATGTGTTCTTTTTCCTCCATATGATCATTGATCCAAATCCAGATGGAATCCAAGAGCTTCATAATGAAGTTAATACTTCCCATGCAAATAACCCTACGGATGATCAAAACCAAGGGATCCAACTATCTCCAGAAGATCTAAAAAGAATCTACCACCCATGGAGATTCTCTAACATAATCAAGCTTCAAGGAAAAAAGACTCAACACCACATCTTAAAGAAAAATTCAAGAATTGTGGAAGATTAAAGAAATTCCTTTNATTCGATTCCGGGCATACGCCCAAGTCCCATATTTTCCTACGGACCCTCCGGGACCGTCAAATCACCGGTCCGGCTCCGTTTACAAAAAAACATTGACCAAGGTCAAATTTATTCATTTTAACATCAAAAGTTAGTATTTTTCACAGAAATTCATATTTAAGCTTTCCGGCTACGCGCCCGGACTGTGCACGCAAATCGAGACGAGGTTTTCAAGGCCTCGGAGTCATAGAATTCAATTAAAAACAGGTGATGACCCTTTGGGTCGTCACACATGGAGATTCTCTACCATAATCAAGCTTCAAGGAAAAAAGACTCAACACCACATTCTTAAAAGAAAAATTCAAGAATTGTGGAAGATTAAAGAAAATTTCCTTTGATTGATCTAGGATCGGAATTCTACATTACCAAGTTCAATAATGAGGAGAGTATGCTAAAAGCTCTTCATAATGGCACTTGGTTTATTTTTGGTCACTTTCTTTCAGTCCAAAAATGGGTTCCAAATTTCATTGCTTTGGAAGCTAAAATTGCAAACACAGCTATTTGGATCCATCTTCCTCAATTACCTACTGAGTTCTATGATGGTCTCATTTTAATAAAAGTTGGTAATAAAATCGGTAGATTACTAAAAATTGATGTTTGTACTTCATCCACACTTAGAGAGGAAGGTATGCTAGGCTTTGTATTGAAATCCCTCTTGATGTGCCTGTCACCCCCTATGTCTTCATTGGACATCATAAACAAGAAATCCATTATGAAGGTGCAAATTTTTTATGCAAAAAATGTGGCAGACTAGGCCACTCTATGGCCAATTGTCACTACATATTATCTTAGTGTTCCACTACAGCTACCCAAGAAGCCCTGGCAAATTGGGCGATCCTCAAGACAAAATGGAAGGCTCCACTCTCCAGACAAAAGACGGTAATTGGAAAACGGTTGTGTTCCCCAAGAAGAAGAAACCCAATCAAAATTTAAAGGTGATTCCCTCCACTTCTGGTAAGTTGCAACACCCAATCACACTGTCTCCAGGTATGTCTCAAACTCTC